AAAAAAGCTTCTTTTTTCTAAAAAATCTTCTCATTATCTGTTTTTTTTTACCAATTGTTTTTTCATTCATACGCAATTGACAATTCTACAGTTGGCATTTTGGCGGACGAGTTTTTTTCTTCTCTTCACCTCGTTTTGAAACAAGAAGCAAACCATAAAACAGTGAAAACACAGGACATGAAAAACTTTTATTTTGTATAACAGTTAACTGATCTTTAAGATTCAGTTATAACCGAAATAGGCAATGAGGATAAGAAAGAAGAAAGTTTGTAGTTGAAACTAGTTACGATATTTAGCCACTACGTTTTAGTTTTTAATCATATTTTTTCTAATTGCTTTGTTTTTCAGAAAAAAAAATTATTGCAACTGAAGAGTAATTGCATCTTATATATTATTTTTCTAAAAAGAAGTGTACCTAATTTTTTTCGTTTCCTCTTTCAGTCAAATTGTTCAATTAGCGCTCGGGAGTGTAATTAAGTAATTCAGCAATAAAGTTTGTCCAGCAGTAATTGTCTTCAACCGGGTGCAATTTTCAGCAGCCAGAATGAAAAGTGTTCAAGCTTGAAAAACAACCAACAGCTGCGATTTTCATCAATTATGCATGAAAAAGAATACATTCAAATTTAAAAAATTAAATGAATTACTAAAATTGAAACAAAACTGACTTAAGTAAGAGAGACTTTTATTTGAGTCAGATTGCGATTCTCAGCAATCTGTTGATCAAGTCACTTTATAAAAAATACAATTAGTTTTGAGTTCGAAGAAAAATAGCTTTTGAAATTATCAGCCGATAGTTTTTTTTTAAATCGTAAAGTTGAAGTATACTTGTCATTACACCATTAGAAAAATATTCGTAAAAAGTGTTATATCTGAAGCTGAAGGTCATTTCTTTTTGCAAAAAACTTCCGTTCATTAAGGCAAAATCTTGAATCCCTGGAAATTTTTCTTAAAATTAAAACTTATGAGCCTCAAAGTAAAGCTCTAATTGAAACATGTCTGAAAGATAATCTTAAAATTGGTTGTTTCAAACTGCCACTTTACCAATTTGTAGAGACTGTGAATAGGAACAGACACGGCGATTTTGCTTTTAACGTTAACGAAGGTATTCCAAATAAAATAATTAAAAAGGTACTTCGGACGAGATATAAGTTGTGACCATTTTTTCGTGAAAAAAGATTAAGAAAAACGATTTCTAATTGTTGCCTCTACTGAACAATGGTAACTTTCTTCATCAATTACAAGATTATCTGTTCGATTTGAAAATGCAGCCTGGAGATATGCAGATGGTATGCGGAGACCGAAATTTGCTGTGTCTAATTCGACAAGTGACTCTCTAAATCTTGATAAACAGCCTGCTACAGTTCAGCTTCTTATATTGAAAGAGAATAGTACAAGAATAATGAAAAGCAGCGTTTCACTAAATGATGTATATTTACCAAAATTTATTCGATGCTCATAATCCAACAAGTTTTTTATCAGAACATGAGGCAATGGAACTTAAGATAAAGTTTAGGCTGAAAAAGAAAAACTTGAATACTGTTAAAACTGAAACGTTTTGGATACCCATGAGATTCAGCTGCCCTCTGGAAGACCAGTTTTGTGCTCTGGAAGACCACTGGAAAGATATAGTTGAAAAATGACATTGAATGCATAAATGATTGCATTTCACAGCTCGTAGTAGCTATCCAATCTGATTGTGAAGAGTTCATTAATTAGTAAGCTCTAAGCTCCCAGTTAATTAAAGTCGAGAAAATTGGATAGTCCACAAAAACAAACCTAAAAATTGGGGTAAGAAGAGAAATAAATTATACGAAAAATACTTGAACACTAAGAATGATTTCAATGTAGAAACATTCTAGGAACAAAAAAAAATTAAAAGCTAATAAAAAACTGTAGGAGAGAAAATTTGAAAGCAGCAGCCATGAAAAATCAAAAAAATATTATTCTTAGGAGAGAAAAAAGCAAGAACAAGAGAGTTCGAAACACAATATTCGTAGCGCAAAATTTAAGATTATTTTTGAATTTTTTCAGAAGTTTTTAAAAAGTAAAACAACTTTACAAAATTTATGAATGCTATAGAGCAAGAAAAAACTGTATTTGAAAGCATTTCACCCCAAAAAGAGTATGAAGTAATTCAAAAAATTACAAATTTTTTTTCAAAAATTGTCCGATTATATCTGATCTACTGAGTTGCCTTTTTATTCAATGGGTATATTTGCCATATATCTTCAGTTTTAAAAACTGTTAAATGTCAACCAGTTCAGGAGAATGGCAGAAGGTGTGATTGTAATAATTTCAGACTTGTATCTCTTCTGAAAAACTTGGTGAAGGTTTTCGAAAAACTGATTAAGAATCAGTTGAGAAGATTTCTGAAAAGCTATAAGGTTTTAACATTCTTTCAGTACAATTTCTTCATCGAAAAACACAGTTGAAGCTATCTTAGAACTCACTGAAAATTTAATGCAGGATTTAGACAAAAATGTAGGGTCTGTGTGGACGTTTTTAGATGTTACAAAAGCGTTCGACACAATTTAGCACAATATTTTACAAGAAAACTGCAAACTGTATGGTTTGGGAAGTTTTTCTTTAAATCATTTGAGGTCGTATCTTAAAAACTGCAAAACGAACGTTAGTTATAGAAGTACATTATCGGAAATTAAACAAAAACAATCAACTATGGTGGTCTAAAAGATACATTTCTGGGCCCTTTGTTGTTTTTTGCTAGATATTAGCACTGGCCAAACTTTAGTGGGCAAAGTAAAAAGGAACTGTTTGCCGAGCATAGTTGATTTTATGCAATTATTATAACTGGACAAGAATTGTAAAAGAACATTGATGAGACAGTTTTTGAATTTGGTTTTTGATTAATAAGCTAACCATAAGCAATGATAAAGCAACCAGCTCAATTAGTTTTAAAAAAACGTTCTAACAGTGGATCGCATCAATGCTTAGCTTTACTACTTAGTGAAATTAATTTTTAAAACACATCTGAGAAAAGCTTTGAAAAAGGCAGCTAGTTCCTGCTCAATGTTGTGTCAACTAAGATTTTCTCTAACACATTCACATTGCTCAGACTATACAAAACACATTTTTGGCTGGTCTACGGCAAAACTAATAGGACAGGCTTGAAAAAAAAAATAGGAAGCCAGCAAAAACTCTTGTGGAGCAATTGTTTTGAAAGTTAAATCGTGGGATAGTCTAAACCAAACTCGGGACAAACAAAATCTCTGTCTATTTCAAGAGTTACACGTTATAAACTTTTTAAACTCATAATTAAAACCATGAGATGACCCTGTGAAATTGAAAGCATCATGAAGACATAATTGAACAGGAGATAACATATACAATAAACACAGACATTACATAAAAAAACCATCGAAGCCGAAGAAAGCTTACTAAAGGAGCAAAGAATGAAATCAAACATTGTTTTCGTGTTTTCACAATTTTAAAAGATATTCTTTGTGAAGCAGTAACAATTACCATTGAATCTTTGGACTCAAGTTTTCATAAAATAAAAGAATCTTACATTTGGAAATACAAATTTTTTTTCACTATGTTTTCGACTTTTATAAGTTTTTTGGTATCTTACTTGGATCGTTAGAAGACACCTTGAAATAATTTTTACGTTGGTTTTCAGTTTTCAGTTTCTTTTACCAGTTTTGTCTTCTTCCTATGGTTTTTGCTGTTTGAAGAATTTTTGCGTCATTTTGAGAACTGTCCAAATGATGTAAACTTTTTAAAAAAGTACGCGTACAGATTTCGCTGATGGAGATGCCACCCGACAGGCTTATGCCTTTTTGGTATTCTCCTATGCCGAACTAAATTGAATACCCACAATTTTAAAGAATTTATCATTGAAAAATTTGGCTTCAAAATATAATTATCCTTATAAAATCCTTCTCAGTAGTGCTTCTCGAAACTGGCAGGAAAAAACTCAGAACAAGCAAGAACTCTGAGGAGATTATTTCACACCGATGGGAATGTGGTATCAGTTTATCAATTTGTGCAAGATCATTTTGATGCATTGGGCATGTTCGTAGTGGTTAAGAGACTTATGATTGTTTTTACAATTTGTGAATTATGATGAAGTTAC